TTCATTTGATCGAGGTTTTGCATATTGTCCACACATTCTAGCCATTCTAACTACTGGAATTCTAGCTCCCCATGTAAGTACTAAACTCATTTGAAGAAGTACTTTGAGTTTTGATTCAATTGGTTCCTATCAATTTTTTTAATATATATATATTTTTTTTATAAGTCTAAATATAATATGCATATATAAATCAATTTTTTGCAAAGATACTTATAAACAACCCTCTAGTGTTGTGAAAAAAAAACTATCCCAACAAATTAGGTTTAGACTGCAACATTAATATATATATATATATATATACATTTCGTCCATTATAAATAATTACCTGTGAACAATATTCAAAAAGTTCTGCACAATCGCCACCTTGTAATAAAAAAGCCTTACTAAGTGCAACTTGTTTTAGTTGGTAACGAAGCTTGTTAATCTTTAATAAACATGATAATTCGTGAATTTTTTTTCAGAAAGATTAAAAATTAGCGTTAAATATGTCTTAGACTATACATGAACATACTTCTGCAGGTGTTACTAAAGGAGGGACATGATCCAAGTTTTTAATAACTTTTTGTAAATGTTCTTGATCTTCGTAAGAAACATTTTGTTTGATTTTTTTTGTTTGCCAACTTGAAGGAGTCCACGCGTCACTAGAGTTGGAAGTTCCGTTGGTTGCTTGTTTATTATTAACAATCATTGTTAATTTTGACTAGTCGTTTTTAAAAAAATTTTTAAATGAAATTAATAATGAATTCAGAAATTCGATTGTTTCGCGACATACTTTAATTTGGCACTTTTTATTAATTAATTGTATTATATTCGAGTTTCAAGTTCAATTTATGTTAACGTATTTAATAACTCGGCTAGAATTTCCGCCAATTAAATTGAGAAACCTCAAAATTCTTACTTATGTCATTGAAGTTTCACGTGAGACAAAATTATGCCAGGGTTCATAGTATTTTTCGAGAACGTAACGTTTCACTAATAAAAAATCACCGCAAAAGTCATTTTTCGCTTCGAAAGAACGTTAATATTCACTATGCAAAAATAATCAGTAACCCCAGAACTTCACTTAGAATGTATAAGCGTTATATAAGTACTAAATTCCAAAACCGGTTTACTAAAAAAAACGAAGCAGATGCTCTTTACTGTAAGTGTTAGTAAAAAGCTTTATATTTACCATTTAACTATTATGCTACTGGCAGATCTTAATATTTTCTTGTACATTACAGAGGTCAATTAATTACGACCCGGATATATATATATATTTTGTAAGTGGATACCCGAATCCACTTAATTTGATTTGGAATCTCTAAGGATCGACATTGGATTAAAACTTCTTTTCAACTTTGAGAATTAGAAATCAAACGAATCCAATTACTCAAATTATTACTGTTACGAAGAATGAAAATGGATCAGAATTAATACGTACTATATCGCTAAAACGCGGGATATTGTAGTTTTTTTTTTTTTTTTAGTTTAGAAAAAAAATGGATTCATTTTTTTGCTAAACCTAATATACACCTTCGGCAATGCAACACTATAACTATATTCCTGATTTTCAATTAAGTATGAAGTGCTTGAAATTTGTGAAAATAAAGTTATTAGCAAGAATACAATCAATTTCAACTGTAACAGGAGTACATTGTAATTGTAAACGCAAGTACAAAAAATAATAATTATAAATGTAAACGTTCTGGTATCCACATATAGTAACTTATAAAGTGTAAAAATAAAAAATATATAATTTTTATTTAGTTAATATTTTTTTAATAAATTATTTTGGACATTTTTAACTTGTACCAGTGGTTAAAGTTAACCGTTGCAATATAAAATCAAATATCTCAAAATGTTATTATGATAACTGGCATTTGGCTT